CCCCACCCCCCCAATCATATACTTTCCATGTGCGGTGACCACGAAAATCGCAACGCCTACACGATTGTAGAAATACGTGTCACCAAAAACATGGGCTGTGAAAAAAAAACACTTCCCAATATTACAGACGTCTCAAACAAAACCTTAGTAGAGTGTATTAGAGTGTATTGGATCTATTCATGAATTTGGGGTTACTAACAGGATCTACGAAGAATGACCAATCTATCTGTGCTATAGGCAAAGCATGACAGATCCCCACGAGTAAAAACTGACCCCCAGATGTCTCAAGTGACTGGAATTCTAACTGGGTTTGTCCATGTTTCTCCCAATGCTAGGGGAGCACCCCCAATTTGAGTTTTTTTCCTTTTCCATGTTACTGTAAACTAAGCGGAAATTGGTCATACATACCCCTGTCACTGTATTGGTTGAATGTCCCCAACACATACCAATTCTTGTTGGTTAAACAGTCCATTCATTGGTGATTCGAATCATCATCGATCATCCCTAACAAGGCGACAAATCTATCACCAGCAGTCAGTTCTCCTCAGAATGGCTGGAATATTTCCAACCATGGCATTTTTTTTTGTAGGGAATGGCTGGTCAACAATGGAAAAAACAATGGAATATCGCAACTAAGTTGACATCTACAGTTCTGAGTTGCGATATGTTTGAATGTCAACGCAGGATGATTTTCGCTCGAACATTTAATCAGACATTTTGGATGTTGAATGTCAAATACCGACTGCTGAAACCCTGGTTTTGTATTGTTTACCCATTTGTTCCACATGAAGGTTCAAAATTACATGGCCAATCTTTGATACACTGCACTTTCTCTTTAGCTTTTTAGGACATATCCAGATTTATCTATATCAAAAGACTAAAACAAATACTAAACCATTTGGCTGGTTTACCCAGATCAGGGGGAAGGGATTATGAGTGATTATGTTGATTCCCTTCAGGTCAAGGCGAAAAAGTTTTGCCAAACATCAAAAGAAACATATGTTTGACACACACCTGACATCATTGTTATCCATTTATCCATATGTCAGATATACTAATATGTGTTTGTATCTAAATGTGTAAACTTTAAGTGTAAACCTCCATTTTGTCATATGATGTCATATTAGTGTTTCCCACGTGGCCAAACGTCCAAACGTTGCCCGCCGAGCATCAAAACAGGGCAGTCTCACAGCCACATGTTTGCCACTTCGCTCCTGGCTCGGATGACCCAGGCACCCAGGCCAGGAGGCTAACCGGTCAGGAGCAGGAAAAATGGACGGACAAAACATATGGTTAACCAAGAAGAAGATAGGGATATCATCGGGATTTTTCATGGGAATATGGGAATATCATGGGAACAGAATGGGAATATCATGGGATTTTTTTGCATCCGGTGTCATCAAACATGGAGGGCCGCCCTTTGAATTCCGTTGGGAAAATGGACATTGAAATTGGGAAAACAATGGAACGAAACGAAATGAAGGATTTGCCAGCAAACCGTGTTTGATCACCAGAAGATATACAACATTTATAGCAGGGCTATCTCCAGCTTGTAAGTGACTAGACCGGTATACCAAACCAGCTCCAACTCGCGGTCCCCCAAATAGCATCCCTGATTTTTTCGGATGTAAACATGGCTAGTCTCGGATATTCTGCCAAAAAAATCAAAAACTGTAACTGTCCCCAAGCAAAAATGGCAAACAAATTTGGAACATCAAAATGAAGCAAGCTAATTACATATTCAAGAGCGACGCAGTCATTGCGACGGAAATGAAAGATATGAGAAAACCACCAGCCAGAAATCGCAATGGAAGAGCCACCAAAAACGCTTGATTTAAGACAAAACCCATCCTTTCACCTGTGCATCCGTAGATTTTAATTTTGACCCATGCCCGAAGTCATGTCAATTTCGGACAATTTCTCAATGACAGAGACAGAGAGAGAGAGAGAGAGAGAGAGAAAGAGAGAGAGAGAGAGAGACAGAGACAGAGACGATCATTCCACCCTGATAGGTCCACCTCGGACCAAAGAGTTATCTCGAATGTAATTTCAGACAAACCCACATGCACTATGCAAATGTGTTTAGATGATTTTAGATGTTTTTGATTACATTTGTTTAGTTCCCGAGAGCGTCTGAGCGCAGGGTTCTTCCAATAGTGGGGGTCTGTATCTCATCTTCTCATCTTCACACCTTCTCATCTTCACACCTTCTCATCTTCACATCTTCTTATCTTCACATCTTCTCATCTTCACATCTTCTCATCTTCACATCTGCTCATCTTCACATCTGCTCGTCTTCACATCTGCTCATCTTCACATCTGCTCATCTTCACACCTGCTCCTCTTCACATCTTCTCATCTTCACATCTGCTCATCTTCACATCTGCTCCTCTTCACATCTTCTCATCTTCACATCTTCTCATCTTCACATCTTCTCATCTTCACATCTGCTCATCTTCACATCTGCTCATCTTCACATACTCACATCTTCTCTTTCTTTCTCTCGCACTCACATCTTCACATACTCACATCTTCTCTCTCTCTCTCACTCTGTCTCCTCTTTCCTCTCTCCTTTCTCTGTCTGTCTCTCTCCGCTTTCCTCTCTCCTTTCTCTCTCTCCTTTCTCTCTCCCTTTTCTCTCTCTCGCCTTCTTTATCTTTCTCTCTTTAGGCCGAGGGTGGTGCCGGCGGGGAGTCACGAAACGCGAACCCTTTCGCACGAAATGAGGTTCGATCGGCAAAAACTGAGGTAAAATTGCGATTTTACGTGTCCCGGAGCAACCCTTTCGCACGAAATGATGGTCGATCGTCAAAAACTGCGGAAAAATTGCGATTTTACCCTTTCACACGAAATGAGGGTCGATCGTCAAAAACTGCGGAAAAATTGCGATGTTACGTGCCCCGGAGCAACCCTTTCGCACGAAATGAGGTTCGATCGTCAAAAACTGCGGAAAAATTGCGATTTTACGTGTCCCGGAGCAACCCTTTCGCACGAAATGAGGTTCGATCGGCAAAAACTGCGGAAAAATTGCGATTTTACGTGTCCCGGAGCAACCCTTTCGCACGAAATGAGGTTCGATCGGCAAAAACTGAGGCAAAATTGCGATTTTACTTGTCCCGGAGCAACCCTTTCACACGAAATGAGGGTCGATCGGCGAAAACTGAGGTAAAATTGCGATTTTACTTGCCCCGGAGCAACCCTTTCGCACGAAATGAGTGTTGATCGTCAAAAACTGAGGTAAAATTGCGATTTTACTTGTCCCGGAGCATCTATGTAAAAGTGTTTGTGTGTAAAAGCTTCTGTGTGTAAGAGTGTTTGTGTGTAAATGGGTTTGTGTGTACGAGTGTTTCTGTGTAAAGATGTTTGGGTGTAAAAGTGTTTGTGTGTAAAAGTGCATCTGTGTAAAAGTGTTTGTGTGTAAAACCTTCTGTGTGTAAAAGTCTTTGTGTGTAAATGGGTTTGTGTGTACGAGTGTTTCTGTGTAAAGATGTTTGTGTGTAAAAGTGTTTGTGTGTAACATTGCATCTGTGTAAAAGTGTTTGTGTGTAAAAGCTTCTGTGTGTAAAAGTGTTTGTGTGTAAACGGGTTTGTGTGTTAAAGCGTCTCTGTGTAAAATGGTGTGAGTGCAGAAGGGTTTCTGTGTAAAAGGTGTTTCTGTGTGACAGCGGCAATGTGTGTGTAAAAGCGGCTTTGCTTACAAGTTTTGTTTTCTTGCCCCGTTGATTGTTTGGCATGTTTGTTTTCCGGTCATCCCTGTCATGTTCAGGCCTTGCCGGCAAGTTT